GTGGTTGTCAAGCGGGCTAAATAAAAAAGGCTCGTGCCCGAATCCCGTAAAATCCATTCTCCACGTTTGCCAGATTTCTCCGAGTTCTTTTTGTGCCCACCGGCCCAGTTTTCTAAAGCAGAAACAGGGCATACATTTCATCAATCACTAAAAATCGAAACAATTTCTTTAAAAAGAGGAGCTTTGGGCCTGTTGCTATTTTTTTTTTAACTTTTAGTGGGCTAATAAAAATACCCATTGCTTGGGCCCCTATTCATTCATTCCTTCAACCACTATATTTAAAAAAATGCTGCTAGATTTTTGACTTATTGCAAGCAATTTTCCCTCTTTTTAGTGTTCTATTTTTTTTTTAAAAAAGTGGTCACCTCCACTTGCTTTTGTACTGTGTGAGCACCACCTGGCTGTGCTCGTTTCCTGTCTCTGACACTCCTGGGGTTCAGATCCCAACTTCCATCTTCTAGATTAGGGAAAAAAAATGTGTATACTGCCCAGGCGCCCACTTGCATGAAGGCAGCTCTCGATTTAATACGTAAATGCTGAGGTTGGTGCCGCTGGACCCCCTGTGTAATTCAAAATCAGTCAATAACTCTTATGGCCTCCCAAAACAGAATGATGAAGTATAATCAGCTGATTAATAATACACATACACAGAGGCAGCTAAGCAAAGGGAGAAAGTCCCTTATCAGAAGAGAGGAAACCAAGTATGATCTCTCCTGTCTTGCTCACTTGTATGACTTCCTGACCCACGGCTCCCTCCCCTGGCCCCCACGCCATGACAGGGGGCTGGTAGGGCCACCTGCTGTCAGCCTGGAGGCTCCCCTACCACCACGACCTGGGGCCTCCGCAAGTCCGAGACTCCCCTTTCTCAAACCCACGTCCTGAAGACGAGCAGCAGCACAAGATGTATTAAATATCAATTCATCAAGTGAAATATGTATTTATTTATTGAGGGGGATAAAATCTGTGTGTAACCAAAAGCATGTAACCAAAACCTATGCAGTTTGAAAGACAAGTGTGCACGCACACAGAGAGCCCACGCCGTCACGGCTGAACAGAAACAAAGCCTCAGATTTCTTCCAGGAAAGCTCCAAGATTTCCACACCCGGCTCATCTGCGTCCTTGGAAAGAAAACGAAGCTCCAGGGGCATTGACTTCCTTCCCTCCTCGACCCATTCTGCACGGACGCATCACCCCGACCACAAAACAACATCCACAAAGGACGAGCAAGACAACACACAGGAAGAAAAAACAGCCGAGCAACACCAGGAAATGGTCCAAGCAAATTATGACATTTAATTTGGAGGGTTTGATTTAGGAGTTTGCATTGGGACCCTTTTTCTTGCCGAAACCTGGCACGATGTTGACAAAGCGGCGGTTGTACTGCATGCGCCTCTTGGCCCGCCCGGTCTTCTTCTTCTTCTTCTCCTGCTTCGCCACCTTGGGGGACAAAACTAGATATTAGCCACTGACTCCCTGGGCAGCTGCCCGCAAGCAACTCAGCTGCCTCTCCTTCTGGGTGTGTGTCCGTGTGTCTCCGTTTTTCCACCCTGCCCATTCAAGCTCCACAGGCGCTCCCTAAACATTTCCACTGATTCGAACTTCCACGATTCCTCAGCACCTCCAAACGAGGAGCTGTTGTGGCTGCCCTGCGTCGGGAAGAAAAACTGTACCTGCTGGATTCCGGCCTGTTTTGTATTTAAAGTGTTGACTCCGGCACCAGTCAAGATGACGTCACTCTCCGCACCACCCACAACCCCATAAAAAAATTCTGCAGCTGATGGGATCAGCTGGCATTCCAGGTAAACCCAGGCATTCAGAGGCCCTGGCTAAGCCCAGTTAGATCAACTGAACTCTGGAGATTTTTAAAAAGCTTAGCGCATCCTTTCCACTCAACAACAGTCCCAGACAAAACAGAAACGATAAGCTTTTCAGAGCGGTGGTTCTCAATTCTGGAACCACCGATGTTCTTGGACTACAACTCCCAGAAATCCTGGCCAGAACAGTGCCTGGTGAAGTCTCCTGGGAGTTGGTAGTCCGAGAACATCAAGGCTGGGAACCTCTGGTTGAGTGTCTCATGTGCCTCCCAATCCTGAAGAGAAACTTCCACTCCCTAGGATGCTGCTGACAGGACGAGCACTGGGAAGAGTCTGTCCTTATCAGCAGAGGAAGGAAGGTAAACATGCACTCAGCAGAAAAAGCACAGAAAGAGAGGCTCAACCCCAAGGGACGGTCCTTTGGAGGGCCCAGCTCCACACCGCAGAGCAGTCATTCATCTCCTGGCCCACCGCATGATGGACTCAAGCCAAAGGAGGTGGAGAAACAGCGTCCACCCTCAGAACCATCTCACAGCCAAACCCAGCGGCTTACCTTTGGGGTCTGGCCCCTCACTTTGCCAGCACGAGCCAGGGAGCCATGGACCTTACCTTGGGG